TCAGATGGGTTAGCTTTCCAACGCATTTTGAATCGCCTCAATCGAATATCGGAATACAAAGTTATGATAAAAACACTGAAAGAAGGTGCAGCTGCCTGTTTAAAACAAGAAATTCCGTTACATAATCCGTTAAAACAATAAATTCCGTTAGTTTTTCCGTTAAACCAACAAATTCCGTTAAATAGACACTTTTTATATATAGAAAGAAATAGAAAGTTTGGCTCTTCAAATTTAGAGAATCAACCTCATTCTCTATTCTTAATTTATAATGATTGCATTTAAAAAATTACAGATTTCAATATTATACTTCTTAAATTATTCAAATCATGCTTAAATTGATTAACCATTGACACATAAAAAACATGTTAAATAAAATATAAGGAGAAATCAATAGATATTTCTTAAGAAATACAAAATGAAGAGCTAAAATACAGAGAAAAGTTTTACCATCTAAATTTAAAAATAATATATATTATGTATAAGATACTCTTTATAAATAAATAATCTCTTAAATGTGCTTTTACCACATAAGTATAGGCGACACTATGTGATACGATCAATTAAGGTAGATTTACGTGACTCATTTAATTGTACTGCATATTTAATGTCACTTAGTGTTAATTAGAATGTTGTTGCAATACAAATGATGCTAAATAACGTACTTTAAAATTAATGAAAAATCTTTTTTCTTCTTTAATACTCACCTAACCATACAACCCATTTAATTGAGATTCAATATTAGAGACATGAAAAATGAAAGAAGAAGTTGTCTTGAGAAATGAAAAACTCTATTGATTTCACTTCTCGGTGAACTTCGTACCGAGATCTTGGCTATAAGTTCGCAGACAAGAGAGCAATGATTTTACGGCGTCAATGTTGGCCCAAATTCTAGCCAAAATGGCTTACAACCCTTATATAAATAAATAATTATAAAAATCTGCATAATTATTAAAATCTAGATAGTTATTAAAATCTAGATAATTGGTAAAATTAAAAAAAATAATAACAAAAATGAAAAGTCATAATATCCAAAATTAATCTAAAATACACAGAACTAAAATTAAAGTTAGTATATTTAATAAAAATATACTAACTAAAAGATAATAAAAACTTAATCTTCATCATTCACCTCCGATTAACGAAGATTTGTCATTGAATTTTGCACTGCATTCTTATCCAATTTATCGTGACAAGGATGTTCCATTTAGGACTTGTCTGGTTCAGCTTAAAATCAGCAAAATTTGGCATTTTTTTTTTACCGTTAGTTTTTAAAAAATGGGGCCCACCCTCTCACAAAGAAGTCAAATTGTGCGGCCATAACGGTTGGAATTCTGATTGGTAGTGGCTTCAGACAGCCTCTTAATAAGATAATTACACCCTCGGGAGACCATTAGTTACCAGCAATTATAATTTTAAGTCCAACTATTAGAGTCCTCAAATCTATCTTTAGTTCTTACTGCATCAGAATCACTCAATAAATGACCATGCTTGAATTGACTCAAGGACAAACCACATTCTTCACTATCATGGCTCCTTAGCCTCATGTTAGGGTTATATGTAGTGTCTACACGTGGCTTAGATGGATG